GGACGGTCCAGGGTTTCAGCTTTTTGTGGGGGGGGGGAGCGAGGAGAAAAAGAGTGGGGTGGGGGAGGGAGAAGAGGAGCAAGAAGTTAACAGAGAGAAGGCACCAGCAGCTGATCACATCCAGTGCAGGCTGGCACAAGGGGGGGGGGGGCTCTCATCCCCATGGGCAGAGCCTGCTCTGGGGATCCTCAGCAGCTGCTTTAGAACACGGTGTTCAAAGCGTTAACCCTCCTTCCACTGCCCACACTCACCCTCTGCCTGTCCAGAGCAGCCCTAGCTGGGGACCTCAAAACGCTTTGGAAACATGGACCAACATCATCGCAGCCTCCCAGTGCGGGAGGGGGCAGGGCAGGGGCTCAGCCCTGGTCCGCAAGGGGGCTGGGATATTTGCTCAGATACTCGTCCTGCCTCCTCAAGCAGCCAGAGGCTGGGCCCGACTGAGCATGTCTCTCATGTGCCATTCCCAGCACTGCAAAATGCCCCCCTCCCATTCAGCATGGAGGCACTCTGTGCCCCCCTGGCACTGGGCAGGGGGCAGTGGGTCAGGCCCTAGCCCTGCCCGGGAGTCACTGTTTGTCACTGGTGAAATGCACTAGCTCCATCCCAGGGAGCAAGCCAGCTCCCAGCACAGCAATGGAGTCTCTGTGCCAGGGCACCACACCCCAGGCTGGTGTTGGGCACACGGCACAGTAGGCCCGATGCTGCCAGACTCACCCTGACCCGCAGTGGGGCAGCTCCAGTTGCTGATGATTTGCAGCAGCGTGGCTGAGATCAGGGTCAGGCCCAGCCTGCTGGGTTTATCTGTTCCCAGTTTTTCCCTGGTGGGGTTGGTTTTGTTCCGCTGGGCAGCCTGGGTGAGTGGCCCCTTTTCCTTCCTAGAGCACGTGTGCGTGTATGTCAGTGTGTGCACGCTCTTCGTACAGTGTGCCCACAAAATGGGTATATTTGTTGGATGGTCTGTGTGGGGTGTGTGCTAAGTGCATGTGGAGAGCAGGCTGCTGCAAAGCAGGGAAGGTAGGTGTGTGTGTGTGTGTGTGCGTGTGCGTGTGCATGTGCGTAGGCACGCACATAAGAGAGAAAGAGAGGGAGATTCCGTGGGCTCTCTGCCTGTGTCTTGCCACCTCCCCCGCAGGACTGGGCTGGGATGCTGTCACCATGACAATTTCTGCTCCAACAAACTAAAAAAATCCCCCAGTTTTAAAACACTTGCCCACTCAGCAATGGGTACCCGACCTGTAGCATCGCAGTTGCCTGGGAAACAAAATAGGGTGTTGCCATGGTAACCAGAATTCCACTGACCACCAAATTCCCTCAGCCACTGAGAGGCTTGTGGGCCTCAGGAGGGCCTCAATGGAAGAGCTGTTGGTTTTCTCTCCTTTCAAGCCCTCATCCCTCCCCTCACGCTGCTCTGAAGCACTGGGAGAAAGAAAGAATGACATTGTGGTATTGCAGCCTCCACTATAGCAACGGTGGATTCTCCATCACAGGCAATTTTTAAATCCAGATTGGATTGTTGTCTAGAAGTTCTCCTTTCATTCCAACAAGGATTAATTCACAGAAGGTCTCTGGCCTGTGGCAAACAGGAAGCCAAACTAGATTATCACAATGGCCCCTTCTGGACTTAGAATCTATGAAGGTCTCATGGCTTGTCTAGACTTAAAATGCTACAGCAGCACAGCTGCATACCTATGGTGACAGGAACAGCCCTCCTCCTCCTCAAGAGGTGGTACCTAGCTGGATGGATGTAGTTAAACCAACCTAATTGTCTAGTGCAGACCTGACTTAGAATCATGGAATCATATCATCAAGTCCAGTCCCCTGCCCTCACGGCAGGACCAAGCACTGTCTAGACCAGGGGTCTCCAAACTTTTCTGCCCGAGGGCCGCATTAACTATCAAACAGCAGTTCGGGGGCCGACTACACACTTGAGGTCCAAATAAAAAACAATCAAAACATGGATGTTGTTTTTAATTATTTATTTAATATTATTTTATTCAGTTATTATTTAATAACACATTCATACACTACACATGAACACCTGTATTAGTGTGAATGGTGAAATTGTTTCCTGGATGCCAAAATAGCAGACATTTCTGGCTTTAGATTTGTTGTCCCTAACATCAACAGTGACCTGAGATTATCATCGGACAAGTTTGTTCTCAAATTGTTCTTCACATATTTCAGACGTGGGGAACTCAGCTGTTGCTTCAGCCATGAAGACCTTGCACTGCTGAAAGTGCGTCAAGTTGTTGGCCTGTACTTGTTCCAAAAACAAATTAGCAGCATGCCAGGCACATGCTATGGGGCACTGCATTAATGCACTGGGGAAAACTCACCCTTCAGGCCAGCGAGAAGAAATCCAGAGAGTGGGAAAAATACTTAAAAGGAGCAAGGGACAAATGAAGCATTAAAAATTAACATTTTTCCTCACCTAGAAGCTGATTTTAGGCACTAGATCTGGTGTTTTAGGAGAGATCTGAAAGAATTTAATATCGATTTAAATCAGGGGTCACCTTTTTAAAGTTCCCGCGGGGGTTCACGTTCCCCCGCACGTCGCCGGGCGGGCGTTACC